ATATGAGCTTTTGTTTCTACTCAAGAGAACTTTTACAATCTTTTCTCCTATGCCTGAAGAAGGGTGCTTGTTCCCAAAAGTTTGCAATTAAAGAATTTTTTTTGCGAAAATCTAGTTGGTCTAATACAATATATCACCTCTACCATGAGCTCCGATTCCTTTTGCCCCTAGACTAATACGGCTACAACCTGGATACCTCATACTTCCCACCTGTTGCTTATAATCAGTCAACTTGTATTAAAATGGAACAAGTTAAGCAGAGGGGAAAGTTGGTTTTCTGCAACAGGAATTTGGGATTCAGTTCCTAGATCTGCCATAGAATCCCTGGGAAATAGTAGCAAACACCACTTCCTTTTCCTTTCTCTTCCAGCTCACCTTTTTGGCACAGGCAACAGGCTTGCCTGCTGATTTGCATAACAGCCTCAGTCTTTGAGAGTTTCTGGACTTTGCTGTGATATAAAAGAAACCATACCACCATAGCAGTCAAATGGTGTGAGGAAGAAGTGGGGTCATATGAAGAAATTATACTTTTTAAACGTAGCCCTTGTATAATGACAGTATAGCCACTAAGACTGTTAACAATAGAGATCTCTTCTACAAGCGCCATCACCACTACTATTTCAGCACCAAGGTTAAGACCACTTGGAGTCTTCTGATGGATCGACACTCGTGTGTCGTGGTTAGCTCAAGTATCACAAGCAGCAGAACCACAACACAGCACAAGCTAATTTATCTGCTGGGGCAGATAAAAACCAAGGCACCAGGTCCACAGGAATGACATGACTGAGCTGTTAAAAATAAATAATAATAATAAATAAATAGACAGTTCAGAGGGAAACACCTGGTCCTGATGCAACAAATGGGAATTGCAACAGACTTAAAAAGGAAGCAAGGATTTCACTCTCAATCTCTGGTTAAAGCCTGATAAGACACTGAAGAACTAGTACAATAAACATTAAAAAGCCTTTATTTTACTAGAAGCAATCCCAAGAATTAGACCAAGTCATTTCTGAGCAACTTCACAATTATGTGAGCTTCACTGCAGCCATAAGTTAATTGGTTGCAATAAGTAGATTTATATTAAACATGATAACATTTGACAAATTGTCACCACTACTGTGAAAGCCTCACAGATGCCTCTTTAATCTACTGAGATCCAAGGAATGTCAAAGTGGTGGAGAAACCCAGAGCTGACAGTTTATTTGGAATTTTCATAAAAATGTTGTTGATATTCCTCATAAAGAGGAGACTGAGAAAAGTCAATAGCCCCAAGAGAAGTAGAAGTGCTGTCATGAATTATAAATTGGTGAAGAGACCAACAAGAATAAGAATTAATGGCCTCTGTTTAATATATCACAGAGGTATTAACGCTGGGGTGCCTCACAGGCTTGTATGTGTAACAATCTGAAAAAGCATGAGAGAAATTAGGTGGTAAATTTTATCACTGACAACGTTATTTAGAAGAGGTAGGAATGCAGAAGACTCTGGATCTTCCGAGGATTAACAGCCAGATAAATGGGCAACAATTGCGAGTGCAATTCACAGTTGCCAGGTACAAGCTAATACTCACTGGAAGGAAGAAGGAATACCTACTGCAATGATTCTCAACCAGAGTGTCATGGGACCCTTTCAAGGGTGTTGTGACAATCCAGCCTCTGTATCAGATCACACGTCTTCCCAGAAACCCATAGACAAGCAGTGCCCACAGCTACTTCCCAGCAGCCCCCACGCTCCCAGCAGCATGCACTAATGCAGGCAGGCAGATGTGGGGCTACATTTTTCAGCTTCGCTTGTCCTCCCCGCTCCCAGAGCTGGCAGGAAGAGCAACAGATATTTGTGGTTCTGGTTGCCAGTGTGCAAGTAGCCAGAGCAGCCATGGCAGTGTTGGCTACTCTTGCCCCGCTCAGGTACAGACAAGGGGCTGGGAAGGGGCAGAGTGGAAAGTACAAAGCACAGTGGGGTAAGGTCCTGCCCCCACCATGCTCACCTGGCACCAGATAGATTCTTGCTCGGTGGTTCTCAGCAGTGATGCTGCTCGCTTCCAAAAGTTGTGGAGGGGTGCCCCGTGTATAACAAGGTTGAGAACCACTAACCTACAGGTAAGTTAACTGCAAAAACTCATGAAAATCATGTGTCACTGTGGATACCAAAAACCCCTGCCCAATACAATAGCAGTCAAG